AAGGTGAATAGAGTTTAATAAGTATGAAACACTGAGTTGGATCAGTGATAGATATGAAACAAGTTTCACTGGGTTGTATCAGTGATGAAGATGAAACGAGACAGAGATGAAATGAGATGTAAGTGAAACATGATATAAGTGAAATGCAATAGATATGAAATGCTGATGTAGGTGAAACACATCAAGTGATGGGATCAGTCATACAGTTACAGGGTCAACGACGAATAGTTAGGAAAAGAACAAAGAGCCCCCCTCCCTCTAATACTGTAACAGTATCCAACTCTTTGAGTTTTGCTGGCGATAGCAGATAAACTTTTCCATATTGGGGTTTGAAGTTTGCTTCCAGATCAATTGTATGATCCCAGGGTTTTTGTTCTGGTAGATGTTTGGCTGTACTTTTGTTGAATACAGACAGGAATACTTTCAAGTATTCTGAGATGTTACTAGCAATGGTTGTTACAGCTTCAGGAGGGGGGCTTTCTTTCTTTTCCTAACTATTTGTCATTGACCCTGTACCATACAACTGATCCCATCAGTCTGATGTGTTTCATCTACATCAGTGTTTCATATCTATCATGTTTCACCTACATCATGCTTTACTTACATCATGTTTCACCTTTATCACGTTTCATCCTCATCACTGATACAACCCAGTGAAACCTGTTTCATGTACATCACTGATCTAACTCAGTGTTTCATACTCATTAAACTCTATTTGCTTTGCCTATTCAAGTAGCACTGCTTCCGCTACTGTACTTTAGTTTTGTCCTCTTGTTACCTACGTACCTTCATAGGGACAATCCAGTAATAGACACAGTTGTCGATTCCAGTCTTCAGTCTGAAGCTTGGCTTCAACCAGTATACACTCTCAAACCGCTATCAGACATAGCAGCTCAGCTTGCCACTCTAGTACCAGTGTAGGACTATAGTGTATATTAGTCCTAGTACCAGTTAACAGTCGAACTCCTGATCCTCAGTCGTTAGGTCCCTTAACAATGATTTTGATTGCTCATAGGAGTTGGTCCCAACAAAAACGCATTTGTCCTGTGACCCAATTGATTACTGGGTTGAAGTGTTTGAACCATGAGAGACCTAGAATGATTGGATTTCTGTCTAGTACTGTCGCATAGGCTTCGATCTTCATTGGTTGTCTGGATGAGAATATGGTGAAGAAGACTTTGTGTTTGATGTCCGCGGCTTTATTTGGTGAGCCGTCAACATTAAACACTGGTCTGGGTGTAATGCTCTGGTGTTGGGGACCATGATCTTTAGCAAACTGGATGTTGATGTAATTTTCTATTACTCCTATGTCAAGCAATGCCTCAGTTGTGATGGTTTTGGCATAGGTTTTCAATGTACAGGGCAAATAAATAGATTGATGAGCTAATCTTGCCTGATATAAATAATTCCTAGTACCATTACTTTGACTTGATATCATGGCAGTCAAAGACTTCAAAAATTCTTCTCAGAGGAAATAGTTTGAATGTATTCTTTGGCTATCCCTGTTAAGGGACCTAACAACTGAGGATCAGGAGTTCAACTGTTAACTGGTACTGGGACTTATACACGCTATTGTCCTACACTGATAATAGACTTGTGACCTGAGCCGCTATAGCTGATAGCAGTTTGAGAGCATATACTGGTTGAAGCAAAGCTTCAGACTGAAACTGAGACTTGAATAGACAACTAAGTCTATTACTAAGGGACACTGTCCCTATGAAGTGTATGTAGGGAACAAGAGGACAAAACTAAAGTACAGTGGCGCAAGTAGTGGGCCTTAAATAGGACAAGGCAAATAGAGTTTAATAAGTATGAAACACTGAGTTAGATTAGTGATGTGTATGAAACAGGTTTCACTGGGTTGTATCAGTGATGAGGATGAAACATGATAGAGATGAAACATGATGTGAGTGAAACAAAATATAGGTGAAGTGCAATAGATATGAAACACTGATGTAGATGAATGTCATGCGATGACCCGCAGTGACTCTACCCTGAAACCAAACCTAACCCTAAAACCCTACTTGTACTCATTATCAGATAGTTTCTCTGAGTAATGGCTTGAGGGCAGTTTACTAGTAGAGGGCACACACTGAGTTAGAGCAGGTGAATGACTATAACTAGTCTGGCCCTATCTG